AAAAAAAAAAAAAACTAAAATAAATTATGGTAATTCTCTACCCTAATACTTAATAGTCAAAATTAATTATGGTAATTCTCTACCCTAATACTTAATAGTCAAAATTAAATTAGTACATTTGTCAATACGAAGCACAAATTTATGTCAAATAAGTTTACGAAATATACGAATCTGTCACTTAAACTCGTCGCATTCAAAAATTATATATAAGGTCGATATCATTTTTAAAATATAAACAAATCATGTTTTGATATAAGTAAATAGTAAAATATATCTATGCCCTTATTTGAGTTATCAAATCAAATCAAATATATTATTGGATAATATAATTTGTTGGTCAAAACTCAAAAGCAATTCACATAATTCGCCAAAACTTGATTGCCAAACAAGGCCCTAATTCGGGTAAGGGGGGGCTGCTGTGACATACTTACAGCAGCCCCAGCTGTTAAATCTAAGCCTTTAGATTAAATATAATTTAACTTGTATCTAAGGGTTAAAAATAAAAATAAATTTGTCTGTATTCTTTTGTGTGTATGTGTCATCCAATAGTTAAAAATAGGAAATAACCTTTCAAAAACACATATGACCCATTCTCTCCTCTCATCTATCTCACGAAATTCAAGAGGATAATTATTTTATTCTAATTGGACAAATATTATTCCATCCAAACCTCAAGAATTATTTTACCTGTTTTTAAGAGTTTTTTTAGACTACTAAATTTCATTACTGTGGTTAAAATTTAAGCATTTATTGATAAACTGCTAAAGATAAAGGTTAGGAACTTTGGTGTATATATGGATAATTAATACAATGTATTACATGAGTATTTATTAAGAAATTTATTCTTAAATTTTAAATTAGTGAGAAAAAGTATTTTAAAATTTAAATAATTTTAAAAAAATATATTATTATATATTTTAGAATGGCATTTGTTACTTGTGCGGTATACATGTGCTATTTATAGTGATTTTTTAACTTATATCGTATAAGTACTTGAAACATAACTTTATTAATTGATAAATATATTTTATTTTTATAATTAATATTAACAAAAAAATTATTATCGCTATAAAGATAAATATAATTTATTTAGTTTATACATACAATATGGATGTTGAGTCGAAACTTATCAAAAAATGATTAATTTGATATATTATATATGTAAGAGTTGTGAATGAGCCGAGCCGAGCTCGAGCCATTAACGGCTCGGCTCGTTAAGTAAACGATCATGAAATCGAGCTCGAGCTCGGCTAGTTAAGATCTCGAGCTCGAGCCTTAACGAGCCGAACTATAAAAAAATCATATAAAAACTCTATTTCTGACCCTTATCGAGTGGAGCCGAGCTCGGCTCGTTTAATTTAACAGCACTATGTAAAACTGATAAAAAATACAAAAGTGATTAATTTTTAAATATATTTACAATTTAATTAATATAATATAAAATAATATTAAAATGCAATTAGTACATGTAACATAAACATAAATAATCGTATTGTTGGATGAAATAATTTGAATTGATTATATCAAGGCCGGTAACAGGATAATTTAATTCATGTACCCAATATTTTTTTTTTTTTTTAATTTATGTTTTTCTGGACTTGGCTATGAATTTCCAATAGTAACATTTTTGCAGAACTTGGCCATGAATTAATTTTTAAATTATTTTTCGACTACTGATAAAAATATTAAAATATGGCAATTTAATCCAACATAACATCCAATATTTTTTTTTTTTTTTTTAAACTGAGCTTTATTTCTCTCTCTCTCTCTGTCTCCCTAGTGGCAAAAAATGGCAGACACCAGGTAGAGACTATAGCTCGACTCGCATAGTAGAAAATCGAGAGCTTTGGGCCAACTTCTCCCTACAAAAGATCCGACCCGTTCAAAATCGGTATTTGGAACTGATAATCGATCGCTCAATTTCTCCCCCTTTTTAGCGCATATTCGGATCGTTCGATTGAATGAAAGTGAAATTGGGGTTTTTCAACATAACATAAGTCTATTACCAATATCTGGGAAGGAGACTAAAATTTTGGTTTTATTTTTAACCCTTAGATGCATGTTAAATTTTAATTAATTCAAGGGCTTAGATTTAACAGTTGGGACTGCTGTAAGTTTGTCACAGCAGCCCCCCCTTGCCCCCCTAATTCAGGCTGGGGGTTTCGTTCGGTCGTGCCAAATCGACTACAGAAAGAGGAAGAAAGAAGAACAGAAAAGCGCGAGAACACCAGGAAATCTCTCCACCGCCGCCGGAGTTCTGTCCACTGTGCACCCTGAACCTCGTGCCACGGTCGAAGCTCCGAGAAGGAGAAGCAAGTAAGAACACGGCCGTTAGTATTCTTTATCTACTCTCGTTCTCTAAGTTGAAAGGTTTAGTCATCTGTAGTTTTACACGGTGGTTGATTAGATTCCTGTATAATGAATTGCGTCAATATGCACCTGTGCGGATATTAATTTAGCCATTGATTCATAAAAAATTGGGATCTTTTTTTTCCCTCTCGTTCTTAGCATGTTTTTTGCCCTAAAGTAATGATTTTTGTGAAAAATATTATTTTAGCTAATGTTGAGTTTGGAATTTAGGTTGAGCTTTCATCATGGTAGTAAATCTCATAAATGCTAACCCGATTGTGTACGAGAAAAAGGAGCGCCGAGCGCGCAATTCACCAGCCGATGCGGATGAATATGCTGTCGAGCAGATTGACCGATTAGAAATTTTTGATATCCTTTGATATGTTTTATATATCTCCTTCATATGTGTTCTGTTTTTCATTTCCTGTGAACTTCTTGGGTAGTAGTATCTCATTTGCTAATGTATTTTAATTTCACCTTTGCACTGATCATTAGCTCCTTGGACATTTTATAAATTATATACAGTTCCTTGGTTAAGTTAAAAAAACACCAACAAAAACAATCCATTTTGCTTAATCTCCTTATGGCCGGGAGAGTCTTCGTGAGAGAACAAAACATGTCTCCATTGTTTTGGCTGCAAATCTTTTAGTTTGACGCATACAGCTAACAATGAGATTGTCTTGTCGAGAACCTCATGTTTCAAAACATCTTGTACTCCTTAAATTTCACACAACATATTAGAGACATAAAAGATCCAGAACACCCTTACTCATTAGAGGAGCTCAAGGTCGTATCAGAAGATTCCATCGAAGTTGATGATGAGAAGAGTCACGTAAGGTAGAAATCTACGTTTCCATATGTATTTGCCTTCATTTACGTGCGTATGCCTATTTTATATCCAAATCTCACTGGAAGTTAGTTTATTTGCTTTAGGGTCACATTCACTCCAACTGTAGAGCACTGTAGCATGGCAACTGTAATTGGCTTGTGCTTACAGGTTAAGCTCATGCGCTCTTTGCCTCCTCGGTACAAGGTATGTTTCTTTGAAAATCAGTTGTGGATACTGGTCTTGTACTATCGATTGGTTATTGTTATCAAGTTGATGCAATTATTTGTCCAGCTATGGCTCGTAATATTTTTATATTGGCCTGTCTGAAAAAGTAGAATAATAAATACCGATTGTGGAGGTGATAAAGATACGTACTTTAGTGGCTTTCTTGATTTTTCGGCTTCTGATAGTGTGTTCAATGAATGATTTTTTTCCTTCTTTGTGTAACACAAATGGTGTTACTTTGATTTTTTGTTCTCAGGTGGATATTAGAGTTGCACCAGGTACTCATGCCACCGAAGCTGCAGGTACCCCCCCGCCTCTCTCTCTCTCTCTCTCGCGCCTTTCTATTTATGTATGTAATTCTGAAGATCATTTTACGTATTTGCAGTAAATAAACAGCTGAATGATAAGGAACGGGTGGCTGCAGCTTTAGAAAATCCGAACCTGCTCAATATGGTTGATGAGTGTCTTGCCCCATCTTACGAATGAAAAGGACAAGAGCTACTATGTATGGTCTATTTAAAAGTTTGTGTTCTTATTGTTTGCAGAAGAGTCCGTGTGTGTATTTACGTATTGCTGTCGAACTTTGTTAAATTTTTATCATTTTTTTATGAGGAATGAAAGTTGGATATTGTGGCCAATATGTGATTATTTTTATGAGGAATGTGCAAAAATCTCCAGTATTGCAGACTGGATGATTGTTGGGTGATGGCAATTTTCATATTTATTTCCATGTTTGTTGATTTTGTTCTCTTGTTTAACATTTATGGAATGGAAATGTGATATTAGTATCACTATTTTGTAAGGGCATAAGCATAGTTTTTAAACCCAGTCGGGAGTTGACCAGGCAGGTCTTCGGGTTGCCGGTTCAATCGCCTGGCACCGGGTCGGATAATTAATTTTAAAAATTTTTAAATTATATAGAGTATTTTGTCATATAAATGTACATAAAAGTAACAAAATTAAATGTTTTACATATAAAATTTGTACATTAAAGTGTATGTATTTCATAAATAAATATTTACCATATAAATATATATACATAGTTTTATTTTTCAAAAAGAAAAAAT